GAACTAAGAGTTAATAAAGGAGGTTGAAAAATCTCACAAACTTTGCGCACGTTGGGGAATAAATTTACGAGTGGAAACATGCGGGTAGCAAAGTTGAAGAAAGTCGAATGAACCAGGAAAAAGTGGGCTTGTAGAAATTAGACTTTACGTGCAAAAATATTGCGTTTCGTTCTCAATTTATTTATTTATTTATTTTAAGCAAATACACAAACAAATTATAACGTAATATTTATCGAAGAGAAGTTATTTTGTGTATACAGCATGTGTATACGAGTGTAGGAAGTGTGTTGTTTTTCCTGTAAAAATTTCCCATAAAAATGATATTTACGACTTACAGGAATCCTCGTTTAGTTTCGTTGCAAAATGTAGGAGGATTTTTCTCGCTGAAAGCTGCCGGATAGTTCTTTCATCGCGGATTCAAAACAACGACGGGGTCGGAACGTGTTTTGAAACAGTGATAAATGACAGCCACTGAAAGAAGGACGAGGCAATTGTTGTTTCTCCCGTATTCGAGCGGAAAAATGTCGACGATCATTGACCGAAAGATTGCGCTTCAATAATTAATTGATAGCCCCTGATTGACGCGTTATTATTACACGCGTGATTCATCTCATTCACTCGATTAGCGAACAATTATATATGTACACTAACGCACCCTCGTCATTCAGAGAACGAGGAGGACTAATTGGATCCGCATTTGCGTATCAATTTTCCGCGATAATTTTATTCAGGCCCGCTCGAATAACAATCTTCTCGAGTTTGGATCGCTTATCGGAAAAATATCGCATCGATGACGCTTTTCTAACTCATTGTCAGGTAAAACATCAAATTCATGAACGTCATTGTGATTTTATTCGTCACTTCAAAGCTAATTGGACAAAAATGATTGAAAAATGAATTTAAAGATGACAAAAGGAATCGTACATTTTAAATAATCGCTTTATTTTTCATTTTCACAAAATTGAATGTTGCTTGAATATTATTAGAATATATGTGAATAATAGAATAAATAAATAATTGTAATATAACAAACATTTTTTTTCAAAGAGTGAATTTCAAGTGACGTCATCATGATGTCATTATGAGCTTTATGTTCTACCTGGAAAATGATTTGGCGAATTCGAAAAATCATGGATGTAATCGGACTTGCCGTGTGGTCTGACTCGATCAAGTCTTTTCTACTGGAAACGCAAATGAGGGCTCGATTGGGATAGTTATGAGGGATAAATTGATGATCGTTATTTCTTACTCGATTTTATTTCAAATTCGTGTTTTATCATCGATTCTTAAAATTCCCAATAGTCATTATTAGGTACTATAAAATGATGACATTTATATATGTTTTTACTCGCGTAATTTCTTATTAATTTCTATTAATTATAATTAGTCATTACGTTCGACATTATTTTATAACGCAAATGAGAGGAATCGATCGGTTTAATTATGGGGGATAAATTGATGATTGTTATTCCTTACTCGATTTCTCATTTGATCATCGGTTCTTAAAATTGTCAATAATGATTATTACTACAAAATGATGACATTTTTATATTCTTTTTACTCTACATAATTTCTTACTATAATTTTTATTAATTGTAATTAATTATTACTTTTGAAATGATTTTATAATTAACCATAATTGAGTTTATTATATTGCATACAGTATCGCAATTGATATATATTAATATGATTATTAAGTTTATATTGAAAACTCAATTAATTTAGTCGATAAACATTTGAGTATCGTCATCAATATTTATTAATTCGCGGAAAATTTGCGCGTATGCATGTAAAAACATATCGATAAACCAATATAATTTGATCAATCGTTGCTAGCATATTGATAAAATTATCGTTTATATAATTCTATATTGCAAATACGTTTCATTATCGATTCTTAACAATTCTCAATAGTGATTATTTAGATAAAATGATAATATTTATATTCTTTTCGCTCTCCGCATTTTACTACATAATAAATAAAATTGTATAACAATAAGAGAATTTGCTCTTTTTACGACAATCAATATCGCAGCGAATGAAACAACACATATGATTATCGAGGATAAGAACATTTTTCTTGCGAGGGAGATAGAATATTATTACATGATATTACATATGAAATGATTATACGTTTCTTATTCGACCTCTTTGTATAATAGAATCCTTACATATTTTTTTGCACCTTTTCACACTGCTTTACACAGCTACAACGTAATGAAATATCTTACTCGGTGGAAATAACATCTCGTTTCGAATTAACGTCTTGAAAATGAGTAAACCGCGGTTCAGAGAGAACTGAGTTCTTCGAAAAACCGTGCTGGACGACGAGAATTTTCTTTTTCGAGGAGAGAACGGTTTACTTTGAAACCGGGAAACGGATATAGAAATATAAGTGAAATGTATATATACATTCACCTGTGACATTTATTCGATTTGATCCTTTTATTTTATATCATCATCCATGTTGTCTATTAATCGTTCGAGGCGCCTAATGAAAAGTCACGCATCGGAACTAATTGCGCATTGATGACGAGATATCTAATCCATCCGTCTGGGTATTAATTAAAAATGACGTGTGACGAACCTTTTCGCACGTGCACAATGCTGGAAGAAAAAAAAGGTGGTAGAGAACTAGAATCAGTCCGTTGAAATCAAGTCGCCGACTACCGACTCGTGGCGTCGTAATTGAAAAGCGAGACGACAACCCTAAATTACGAGCGGCAAATTAAGCCCTCGGTGTTAATGAACCCGGCCGATGACGACGTCGACGATGTTGACAACATCTATGCATTTCGCAGAACTGTTTATCTTCTTGCAGTCACTGATATATCACGACTTTTTACATCATTCTTTTATTGGATTTCTCTGTACGGTAATAATAATTGTCGAGAATCGTTTTTTCGTAATTAGAGAATCTTGCGCAACAGAAATAATAAAATAAAATTGTGAAATTAATGTAAGAACAGGCCAACTCAAGAGCATAAATTATTAGGATGTTAGTGAATATTATAAATTTTTATTACTTCCCAATTATACCATATTAAAACAATTAAAACATATTAATACAATTAAATCAAACGTTTCGACTGTACGCAGTCTTCATCAGTGGTGTCATATAGTATTAGTCAATTGTAAAATTTTAAAAAACATTTCGACGATGCGAACGATTGCAATTCATACTATTAATTATAATCATATATAAAATAACTTGGATGATGCGAACGATTACAACTTTTGATGATGTGTAGCATGTATGATTTTGAGGCTGAATACATCACTATATAAATGTTTTTTAAAATTTTATAATTGACTAATACTATATGACACCACTGATGAAGACTGCGTACAGTCGAAACGTTTGATTTAATTATATTAATATGTTTTAATTGTTTTAATATGGTATAATTGGGAAGTAATAAAAATTTATAATATTTACTAACATCCTAATAATTTATGCTCTTGAGTTGGCCTGTTCTTACATTAATTTTACAATTTTATTTTAATATATAAGAGCGTTATAATTTTTTACTAATTTATTATTTTAGAAATAATAAACTTTTAAATTATTGTTTGGATTTTTTTAAGAAAAAATTGTTTTAGATCTGTGTGTAAACAAGAATCTCCACTATTAAGTGCTAAGCTTGATAATTCTAATAAGTCTTATCTACATAATATAGACGAAAAATAAATTGAAAGAAAAGTGGAATAATCTCTTGCGAAAGAACTTGAGCGATAATGTATAAAAATTGAAACATTCAAAACTTATACGTACACAGAGATCATTTTCTTTTAGAATTTACCCTAAAAATCATGGTAATCATAAGACAATATGGTATTTTTACAAGAGATTTTATAAGAGTTTCTCTGTTTAATATATTTATCACAATAAAATAACAGCTGCTTTGATTAATTTGCAGTTTTTTTCTTGGCAATGATGGCATTATTTATTGCAAGTTTTCATTTTACATATCTTTTTCTAATTAATCCTAAGAAATGTATAATTTCAGTTTCTAAGTGAGTTTGTACATGATAAGATATAAAACATGTTCGATTAATTTGATTATGTTAATATTTTTATTGCGCTAAATATTAATCAGAGAAACTCTTATAAAATTCTTGCAATACCATATTGTTCTATGATTATCATGATTTTTAGGGTAAATTCTAAGAGAAAAGAAAGAATTGTCTCCGTGTATAATTAACACACATTTTTATATATCTATAACTATGCAGTTAATAAAAATTGTTCGAGTCGAGGAAAAAGCTTCCTTTTAATCTCTTTTCGCTTAAGCATTAAGTAATTAAGTATCAGCGGCACAATAGAAAGATCCCAAGGATTCAAAGTATCGGTTACTATTGACAGTCTAGCGTCAGAAACGAAATTTCCAAGGTAATTTAACGAAAGTTCCGTCTCTTCTTCTGGTTCGCCGCGTTGATGCGTACTTTAACGCGAATCGAAGAATATAGAAAGCTTGGCAAGCAATTCGCGCAGCAAAGTGAGTCTTTTCACCTGTGCTGTCCTCAATTGAAATTAACCATCCCATGAATCATCCTGCGATGAATGGGGGAGAACAAAGCCGGTAAAAGGGTGTTTGCTCTTCGATTGAGCAGGCTTTGAAGGAGACGAGAACCCTGAAAAGAGAAGAAAAAGGTGTCACGTGCGCGATAACCCGACCTGGGGGTATTTATTATATTTATATTTATAGACTCAATTTGTATGATCAGCTTTTTCGAATCTTCTCTCTCCGCATCATCGGCGCACAAATATGACGCAAAAGTTGGAGATAAAGGAGCAATAATCGCAAAACGTGAAGAAACATGCAGCCTAAATATAGGTCATCGTGTGCAATTCGACACGATGAACGCGATGAGAATAAGGAAAAAAAGTGATATCTGCGATACTTTTTTTCTCTCCGTCCAAATTTCGTTCGCAAATAAATATGTCGATACGTTATCGCGTCTCTGTATATACATATATGTGGTCGTTTACGTTTCAGATGAACGTCGTTAATTTATATTCTTCCTGCACGATGATACTGCTCGGCATTTTGGCGTCTACGACGATAATCGGCCTCACAAGTTCCGCTCCTCTATCATCGTACGAAAGAAGGGAGGACGTGTCGGATGATCGTCCGAAAATTTTCCTGCTGATGGATCAAAGGATACCAGAACTGGAGGTATGTTTTTTCTTCTTTATTAATGACGCACGCGACATATATGTTTGTATAATGCTTTCAAACTTTTTAGAAGGTAAGACGACAAAATATAATTATTCTATTTTAAAAATGAGATTGAATTTATTATATTTATTATAATTGCTCCGATAATAATAATATAGTCAACGAGCGATTTCACGCGTATAAATTTCGTTTACTTATTCCGATTAATATTTACACCACAATAAAAACATAAATTAATCGAACATATTTTATATATTATTGTGGTAGATATTAATATTTTTTATTGTGGTAAATATTAATTAGAGAAATTTATAAAATTCTTTCACATGAATTTTCACAGGGTAAATTCTAAGAGAAAACTCTCCGTGTTCGAATACGCTTTTATCTTTCAAGATTTATTTTCGCATTATTACATATATAATTGAAAATGAAAATTTTAAAGTGTCAAGCAGGCAATAAGAGCCAAATCGCGGATGCCAGTGCGTTACCCCAACGAAAAAATTTAGTTTTGTTGGGATAACGCACTATCATCCGCGATTTGGCTCTTATTGCCTGTTTGACACTTTAAAATTAATATTTATATTACAGAGCCTTGTTAAACTCTGAAAATGAAAAATTCTGTTAAAAGAATCACAAAATGCAAATCAGTGGCATTTCGAGTTCATTGAAGTGATAGGGGAGTATATCAATAATCCGTCGATAAATCCTTAATGCGTTAAAGGCCGCGTATAAATTACGCTTGAATGTGCTTGCGAACAACAACAACGTTTCAAGTGCGAGGACTATTGTGCTGACAGGACGAGACACATGTCGGATCGCGCTCGGCTAGTTTACACAAGCAAGCTTTACGTTTTGAATTGTTAATTGTGCGTAGGATCGACTAGCAATGTATGTGCATGTACATCCAGTCTACACAGAGATAACACATAGTATATACGTATACGTGTACAAGATATACACAGGAGATGCGAGGTAAGCGCGCTTCTCGGTTTCGCGGATCGGCGTGATGGGAAATGACGTAAACATGTGGTATATGTATGTATTGGTATACAAGAGAGCGAATCGGAAGAGAATCCGATTCATGAATGAAGATATTCCCTCTTTCTAGTTTAGAAATGCGCGCACGTGGAAGATCTCACGTCGCGTTACAACGGATTTGCGTCCCTTCTTATTTCCTGTGCACATCCTGTACGCAGGTTTCTTTTGGAGCGAACAGGTTTTGAAAGCTTTGAGGATCGAAGACGCGTCTTCTCTCGCATTTTTCGCTATACACATACTCTGCCGAAAGAGTAAATATTGAAATATTCGTGGTTTCCAACAATGGAAGTCGTATATGCAGTGTTACATAATGTTACATGGTCTTACAGGGTCACACAACGTCGACTTGTATATCTACCTTGAACGCTTAACTTTTTTTACTTCACCCTATATTGAAGCATCCTATATTTATTACATTTTCCACGCGCGATTTATCGTATTTAATATTTAAAGTCGTAAAAAGACTATTAAAATATATTTTTTTGTCACATAATATGTGTAAAAATAAATTTGTTACGCCTTTTTCCTCTTTGAAAACAGCTCATTTTCAAAAATTATTTATGAAGCATAAAATCATGTTTATGTTACATGATACGATCTCGCGATTAATAGATAAAATTATTATTGATATTAATTTTTGACCGAATCATTCTTTATATATAAAAATAAATAAAAAAAATTGAAAAAAATCTGAAAGTAGAACGATGAAAAATTTGCGAATTGCATTCTTGAATTTTTCATTCTCATTTCAAGACATATTGCGTAAAAGTGTGTCACATTATTCATATACGACATTCATTATTTGCTCTTTGCCATAAGTGCGCATCTTCCGATTCGTTGCATTATGCAGTATAAATTGAAAGCTCTCTTAGCGAGAGCTCGCACTTTCGGATGTTATTACGTAAAATTTGTGCAAAATTCGCAATTGCTCGTGATTGTATGTAAATTGAACATTATGGGATCGAAAGTATGAGAGAGAGAGAGCGGAAATCTCATTTTCGAAAATATGCAATAAAATATGTAGCCTATTAATCTTGCTTAAATTCATTATTCATCTATCTTTCGCTGTAATCCGACATGACTTTTAATCACAAAATTGATCAAAATATTTAATGCTAAATATTGTATTAATGGCATTGTAAATCGACACCTTGATCTTTAAAATCTCAATATTTATTTTTATAATTATTTTCATGGAAAATGGATTTGTACTCTCTCTAATGTATTAACAATAATAATTTTATATTTAATTTAATTTAATTGTACTTAATTTTATTGTATTTAGTAAACGAGAAAGTTTCCCTTTAGTATACACAGACAAAAACACAAATGGAGAACAAAAATGTGCGAAAACAATTCAATATGAGGGGATTTAACTGAAGTTCCTCAATAGAGAACATAAATAAATACATATATAAAAGAATGATAGTCGTAAATTTTAATTGTAATATTTTATTTTACAATTTTAGGATGAAATATTGGGCAACGAACTCGGATCGGAAGTGACGCGCGCCAAGAGGATCGGATCCTTGTCGATCGTCAACAACCTGGACGTGCTGAGACAGAGGGTCCTGCTGGAGCTGGCTCGTAGGAAGGCTCTGCAGGATCAGCGACAGATCGACGAAAATCGCCGGGTCCTCGAGAGTATCGGCAAGAGATCGGTGCCGGGATCGGATGCTGGCAGAATCGCGGCGAGATCCGAGAAATCGAGGAACAATCGAGGCGAAGGATCGTTCAACAGATTCGAATGGACCGAAGAGGACGATCCGTTGGTCCGTGAATCGCAGGACGATCGGATGACCAAAGTACGAGAGAGTCGCATATTCTTTCTTCTAAATTTATTCCTTATTTTCGACTCGTTTCATTATTTATTATTCTTAATTATCATGGTAAATGGATGTTTCGGTTCTTCCATCGGACCATTTTCAATATATAAAGTAATTAAAAATTAATAATTGTAATAAATAATTGTTTGGCTCTTAATTGCCTCCCTTTTTTCAATATTCATTTAGATTTAGTAATCCATACTCAGAGCCTTATTTTATTTACAGTATGAGATAGAGGTTTATATAGAAAAAAATTAATTTGATTAAAATTGTATATCGCATAAGAGTACATTAATAATAATAATGTTAATGTTTCAGGTGCAGGCTAACGAACTACGTCTGTTGTAACCGCGTCCACGACCTGCAAAGAAAAACTCCAGATCCGATATCTTTTAGCTCTATTGCTATATGCGATTTTTAATCGGCCATTTTATTATTAATAAGTTATTTTATCAATTGTCCTTGTTTTTTTGTTATTTATGCGTATTTCTCGGGTGACAAATAGTTTACGGCATTAAGGCAGATAGGCGATACAAGTGTAAAAAATTGCTAAATTTTACAATTTAATGTGTAAAACAGTTGCGAACAAATTCAAATTGAGAAATCGAAATATTTTTACGGCATAATATTCTCAACTCCTCTTCTATATAATTTCCATTAATTTTAATGTTTATTTATTTGAGTCAGATTGCAATATATTAATGCACGATCCGGCATTTGTGGTCTGACAAAGAATAAAAAATCGCGATTGCATTGTTCGAAGATACGATATATGTACGATGATGTATGTCTGATAGATTTGTGACTATATTGCGCGTTGAACGTTCTCCAAAAACAAACGCGCAGAGATCTGAGAGCTTTACTTATCGTTCCTTTCTTATATCTTAGCTTCTTCGGACATGGAGACAATGGTGTAACGAAGCAGTATTATACATTGTGATCTTGTGGTCTAAGAGTTCTTCTATATTTCGCAGAGAATATATTCCCGTTCCTCTTAGCGTGTATTTAGTTAAATTGTATCCGCAGCACTTATCAATTATTCGCATTTGTAGAAGACGATGCGACAATGTATGAGAGCGACGCGTGAGTTGATTAAACTTGCAACTTCACTCTTTTGCCAACCTCTATATAAATGTACAAATACTTCGTTATATTCGATAGCGATATCGCCTTTCTCGCGTAAATCCAGCGTCGATCGTTGGATGCGACAGGCACTCGACTGCATGTGTGTACCTGCAGTTTGCAACTCTGAACGAAGTCTATTTTCTGCATAGTGTGTTAATCAAAGATAAATTGTCCACGAATCGATAAATAATTACTTAAATCTTGTAAAAGGATCCGGAAATCAGATATACTATTTAATGTTGAGAGAAGACTATTATAATATATGATAAGATCGATAAAGTACAACAGATGTATTCTACATACTAATTTAGAAATAGTTTTACATGCATCTTGTTTTTTGCTTGATTTTAAATTTTAATTTAATTTTCATTAAATGATTATACGATACAATTGTTTTTCTTTTAACTTTCATTACTGATAACTATATGCGATTTTATTTCTTATATCGTCTCTTCTTGCTGTTGTTTATTTACACAGTTATTATTTATCGTAACAAGAGTACAAAAGCAGCGATTATTATCGACTAAAGTTTAAAATAGTTTAAAATAATATACAGAATTATTTTAAGATGTCACGGATGAAAATACGGCAAATAGAACATGTATGCATTATCACTATGATTATTTAATATGCATTCGATACGATTGTGCCACATACAAGAATATCTATATAAAAAATTGAAATTGTTTCAATTTGTTTCATCAAAATGCGATCTTAGGATATCCAAGAAAAAAATATAGTTATTAAATCTCTTTCAATAATAACCATCTCTCAGTGTTATATTATATTATATATAGAACTTAGAATATATAGAGATACTATTCTTCTTTCGTGTCAAAACTTCTTTTTATTTAAAACAATTAATTTAAATATTATGTAAAAATATATCTGTCGAGAAAGGATTTATGAATATATTGAAATATGTATGTTACGCATATAAATTTCATAGCGCGATAAATTATTTATTTTCAAACACATAATTTTTCTTATGTACAGATTGCCTGCTATTATTTTGTCATTATGATATCGAGTCGGTGACAGCTAATAAAAATATTGAATTTGTGTGATTTACGTGAATTAATGATAATAAATTTCGTTTAAAGCTAGCGATAAATATCTTTCGTAGATCCCTATATACGTATAAAAAAGGATCATAATTAATGATGTAACAGTGTCATTATTTTTCGACCACAATCATAATTTTTCTTAAAAAAAGTTTTATTATTTTAATTCATTGTCGAAATGCTTACATATTATTATTACAGTTATACAGTATGGAATAACATCAACTTCAATCATTTTTAGTGAATGAAGATGGCAATCCATTTCTCTGTAAATAGTACGTCTGCTGAATTATTACATGGTGAACTGTACAGTGTCACTATTAAAAATATTATCAATATACATACATTTCTCTTCATGCATTTTTTAAAAAGAAAATATCAAGGAAATTTAAAAATCTTTTAGCGCAATTAAGTTGAACATTGATTGGACGTTAAATATTGTGGATAATTTTTTTACTGCAAATTCTTAAAACACTATATAAATATATAACATAAATCATAAACATCCAAGACTCGAGTAACGTAAAAATACAATTACATAGGGCAATCCAATATTATTTCGAATGATATTTTGAGGATCAATTCTTTATTGCGCGTTTGTTTATTAATTAAGTATTTAAATATATAACTAAGAGATTTATAAAACCGTATAATTTTTTAGCACAATTAAAATCCATAAATCTTCTTATAATCAAGAATATAGATAAAGTATATTCACAAAATATATTCATAGATTTCGTTCTATTCAAATTGTCATAAAAAACTGTGAACCATAAAGACATCACTAATTGTAAATGAAATTTTATCATTGCACGTTTTATGCAAGATATCATTATAGTTCTCATGCAAATCAGGCTCATGCATATTCATGATAATAATATGGATCATCCTGTATAATAGAAAAGTAAAAGAATATGAATGGCTGATATTATATCAAATTCTAACTAAATTGCCGCGAGTTGATGTTGATAATAAAAAATATTCCTTCTATAATGCTGAGGTAATTATAATTTACGAAGATCGAGAACGAATACACTGCCATCGGATGCTGATGCGCCGACTTTATCGCCGCGACTATTCCAGCAGACTTCGAAAATGCCACCCGTCCCCTTGTAACTGTGCACCAACTGCCCGCTCTGTTTGAATGAGAACAAATATATATTGGTTGCAATTTCACTTTTAACATTACATCAGTGATAAACAAAAATTTTGAAATACTCACTTGAGTGGACCATATATGAACACATTTGTCAAAGCTGCCACTAGCGAGAAATTTCCCATCCGGACTAAACGCTACGCTATAAACTGGCTCGGTATGTTTTGTAAGTGTGTGTATGCATACACCTCTCTCCACATCCCACAGCCTAACAGTAGAGTCAAATGACGCACTCGCCAAGGTTAAATTCATATTCGGATTGTGTGTTCCTGGACCAGTCGGGGACCATTTGATAGTATAAATTTCTTTGCTGTGTGCCTGTAAATCGTGTACCCATGTATCTTGCTTCATAGACCAGATTTTTAAACTCATGTCGTCCGAACAACTAGCCAATAAGTTTCCTTGTGGATCCCATTTAATTGCATTAACTTCGTTCTGCAAAACAAAGAGAAAAAAGGGAATGAAGAGAACAGTATATTTTGCACTTGAACAAAAATATGTATATGTATACGCACTGTATGTCCTTGGAAGCTCTTGATCGGCTTATCAACGGTAAGTTTGCATACGTGTATGCACTGATCTGTGGAACAACTCGCGAATGATGTGTTTGTCTGCCAGTCGACATCTAAAGCTGGTGCGCAATGGAAACTAAACTGTTGCGTACACTGCCCGCTTTCGGCGTCCCAGATGATGGTAGTTTTATCGACGCCAGCGCTCAAAATATAATTGCCGCGTTTGTTCCACTTCAACGCGAAGATCGGACCTTTATGTTGACCCAAAGTAGATGCCAGCCGGCCGTCAGTTGTCCATATACGCGCATATCCATCATAACTTCCAGTTGCAAGTAATGTACCATCACACTGCAAAAGTTGAAAACGCATGTCATCATGGTATTTAACAAAAAATAAATAAAACTATATGTCTAAGATTGTTCGTACCTTCCAATCTAACGAAGTAACATCCTTATTGCTAGGCACTTCGGTACCTCCCTTTTGAATACAGTGACGCAAAACCAATTGATTGGGTGCTAGTGAATTATCGGACATGTCCCAAATACGTGCAGTACTATCACCCGAACCAGAAGCCAAAAGATCAGTAGTCGGATTCCAGGCACAAATAAAGACTTCCGATTCGTGACCGCGTAATTTTGTAGCCTTACTAGCAGGAATTTCAACGGCACTGGCGTTGGAGCCTGTCGTCGCTCCTGTCGTCGGCTCGTCCACTTCCATCTCCGTTCCTCTGTCGCCAGTTCGATCATTATTACTTACTTCATTAGATGTGACAACTAAGAAGAAAAAGTATTTTGTATATTTGTTAGTTTTTATCAGTTATTATTTAGATATTAATTTTGTTCCTTTTTAATTCGTTCATTCTAATTAATTTATTTAACTGTATGCCACTAATTGACGGACAGATTGATATTGAATTATATTTCTCACTTCTAGTCACTTTTAACAATGAAAATTTATTTCTTTACGAAATATACTTTTCATTGTTACATCTGACAAAATGATTTGTAATATAACTTGCAAAATGACCGCAATTTATGGCTGTCCTATATTAATCTGCCTGGGTTATAAGGAGGTTTGAAAAACTTCAATTTTTCCCGAACCAGGGTGTACCAGGCTCTTAACACAATGCGTGCATGCTTTTTCTGTTTAATATCTATTATTTTCTTAACATTTAGCTCAATCTTTGCATTTTTAACTTACATGTATAATATATTATATACTTTATTGTTATAAAATATAAAAGGAATAAATTACCTTCTTCGCCATTCGTATCCTGACCATCAGCTTTGCCCTGCTGTTTCTGTTGGTTAATTTGATTCTGTCGTGTCGCAACCACATCTGGCATAACAGCGTCGATAAGAGATAATGATTCCACCATTCTCTGTTCCGTGCCATCTTCACCTATAGATATTTCTGCTTCTGTATACTGTAGTCCCTTCTGAAGTATGGATAAAAGAGCTGCCGGTGGTACTAAAGCTCCATTAATATTGCTTTGCGATATATGTGACTCGATGCCAAATGTATAAGCAGAATGTTGGAAGCCTGCAAGAGAGAGAAGTTTGACGATAAAATTGTTATACTTTGACAATGTTAAACTTAAACGAGTCCATCATGAGAGATTCATTTCGAGGGTAAAAAGTCATATTAAATTAAGTCGCAAATTTAATTTAATTATAGTTGCTGTCTTCTAACCAAATTTGTTATCTTCCAAAAATTGTCACATAAATCTTACTGCTTATCAAGAGTGAGACTGAGAACACAGAATAAAAATGAGCTGAGAAAATGCTTTCGGAATGACTGGCGACTCGCTCGCACAATGAAGAGCAAATTATTTTCACGTATATAACGATAGAAAAATATTTCTTATATAACAAAGAGGTGTCCTCATGGTCACAAAGTGTTAAAAAAAATTGTCGCTGCTCGGAGCAAAGGAATAAAAAGCAAAAGCGCATTCGTCAAGTGTACATTACAAGGTTATAAAGCCAAGTTCGGTAAATCGTACCGGATTCTTGCAGGTATCGGTAAACCAAGAAGTTGACCTCATCGCTGGAGAAGCTCATCGTGTTTGACATTTACGGTACTAACACGACATATTTACAGCAAAGTAATCGACGCCGAGGAACCGTTCCTCGAGTTCCCTCGCACGGAGATCACGAGTTTTCCTCGGCGAGAACAACTATTTCCTCGTCCTTGTTCGGAGCTGCGTTTGCCGCGTCGAAGTCGAAACCAAACACCGTGCTTCGGCGAGCGTCGTCGTGGGATCGCAGTGGTGGCTGGGAGAAACAAGGGGAAGAGAGACACGCACACACTCTTCGCGCGCTGTCATTGGTCGGCGCTGTTACACCTCGTTGACATGGAGATGAGGAAGAATGGGTGACATCCAATAGGAGAACGCGGCCCTAGAAACTGCGACAGGCTGCGCTCTTGTCCCTAGAAAGCGAAGCTTCCTATTGGACGTCGCGTAAATGCGAATCCGCCATTTGAAAAGCAGCGTTAACATAGTGCAGATAAAAAAATATATTATATTATATATTATTTGTAATATGTTTATTATATATTTATTTATTTATTTGTAATATATTTATATATTTATTTCTATATTATATTATTTGTAATATAGAAGTCCGTGAACAGACTCTGCTGCACTTTTTCCAAAGATGGTGGTCGCACGTAGCGAATCGCTGTGAATCACTCGCGCGACAGACGAAGAGAGATAGAGAAAGAGGTTGTAAATGACTGTCAACAAGTTAGCGAGATTTCGCAGATAAACGGGCGATTCGAATCGAATCGATTCGTTTAATCTACTCTATTTTTTCCCCTCTTTAATGTAAGCGCGACGCGTCCAGAAGAAATAAATACGCGAAGACGAGGTGTGTCGAGTGTCAGAGTCGGAGCACCGAGTGGAGCGGAACTGTCAACGAAAACAAGTCTTTTAACCGCTCGTTCGGAAAGATACAGACTTTGATGAATGTCTGAGAGTGATTACGATTCCGCGAACGAGTACACAAGCCTGATGGACGGTCACGTCGCGGAGTCTCGCACGGACGACCTGATCCTGGGCAATGACCGTCTAAGAAAGAGCCGCTCTAGAAACGTCAATGAAGAAGTAATTTTTTTTCTATTGCTCTTCTTTTTTTTTTATATAATGATTAATTAATTTCTTACAAATTTTGAAATTTATTCATTAATAAAAAAATATTTCTTTTTTTCTTCAAGTGACATTTATTAACAGTGATACTTTGTAGGTGGAGAATGGGGTTCCCGAGGTACATATTGAAGCACCAGGCACGACTGTCGCTCGATCGAATAGACGAGGTGCGTCCAGTAGCAATAATCAAAACAGACGGAGACGTCTCAACAGAGACGAGGAAGAGGAAGAGTTAAAGTATGGTGCGGCACATGTGATCAAACTCTTTGTCCCCGTTTCGCTATGTATGCTGGTTGTAGTGGCTACTATTAGTTCAGTGCACTTCTATACAACTAAAGGAATGTACTTGTAAGTTTTGCTTTACAGTTTTAATCATAATATGATACTAAATTGATTGACTTTCGAGAGTTTTGGAGACTAAATCATTTTTTTTCGTATAGAGTATACACTCCATTTCATGAGGAAAGTTCTGATACGAGTACCAAAGTGTGGCAGGCATTTGCCAATTCGTTGATTCTCATGAGCGTCATTGTATTTATGACTGTGATACTTATCATTCTTTATAAATACAGATTTTATAAAGTCATACATGGTTGGCTGATTATAAGCTCTTTACTGTTGCTTTCAATGTTTTCGATGCTGTATTGCGAGTAAGTATAAAAAATAAAATGTGAATTTAAAATATTACTTGTCTCGATACTCGAAAGCTTAGTGTGCTTTTTCATATTTACAGACAGGTATTGAAAGCTTATAACATTCCAATGGATATATTCACACTATGTATAGGCTTATGGAATTTTGGTGTAGTAGGAATGATTTGTATTCATTGGCAAGGACCTTTGCAACTTCAGCAAGCATATTTAATCTTTATTTCCGCCTTAATGGCGCTCGTTTTTATCAAGTATTTACCCGAATGGACGGCATGGGTCGTGCTCGGTGTTATAAGTATCTGGGGTAAAATATTTTCTCTTGTCCAAAAATTAACAAGAAATTGAATATTTTACTTAAAACTTTTTTTTACGTATATTTAGATTTAATCGCGGTTCTAACACCGAAAGGCCCTTTGAGAATACTCGTCGAAACAGCGCAAGAACGAAACGAATCCATTTTCCCCGCTCTAATATACTCTTCCACCATCTTATATTCGTTTACTGTGACTTATGCTGGATATGTACAAGCGGCCACGATGGCATCTGAAGATACAGCGGCGTCTCCCACACGCAGTCAGGCGGACAATCAAAATAATCCTACATCCAATGAAACGGAAGAAGGAGGTTTCACCCCCGAATGGGTAGAGACACATGGTATAATGGATCAAATATTAATAAAATATTTTTATGAGAGAAAATTAATAAAAGAGCAAAGAAAAAAAAAATATATATATATTATATAAGATTCAATTATATAGATTGCATATAAATTATAATGCATCAAATTATGTAATTATATTTAATTCATCGATATCTTAATCCAGAAAATCGAGCTTTTAGAGTAGGCGCTATACAAAACAGAAATTAATAATATTAATTTGACATATGCACACACAGGTGAACGTAGCGCGAGACGCGCTCAAGAAGTGAGCGAAAACTCGTCCACGGTGAGGGAAGGTGCGCGACATCGCGAAACTTGTCCACGATACTCGCAGGGAGGACAAGCAGGAGGAGCGGTTACCGAGGAAGAGCGCGGAGTTAAACTAGGTCTTGGCGACTTTATATTCTACAGCGTGCTTGTCGGAAAAGCGTCCAGTTACGGGGACTGGAACACTACCTTGGCTTGCTTTGTCGCTATTCTTATTGTACGTATTTGAGATTAAGTATATTTTATTAATTTTTATTCTGAAATTATTATTTTGAACATTTTTCTTCATAGGGCCTGTGTTTGACGTTGCTGTTGCTGGCCATATTCAAGAAAGCGCTACCTGCGTTGCCAATTTCTATAACTTTTGGTTTGACATTTTACTTTGCCACGAGGGTCATTGTCGCGCCGTTTGCGGATAGTTTAGCGAGCGAACAAGTGTTCATTTAAAACTTTAGGTATGATATATTTTATCTTATTTAGTATAATTTATTGTACGATTATTTTTCGTGAGGGGACAATGCCGATTAACTCGCCCGTTTGGTATCTGTCGCGTTACGTTTAGTTCCTGTATTTTTTATAATTTGGTCTTTTTTTCTAATTTATTTAAGTAAACTTTTCTTTAGAGACTGACTCCTCTGAACCAAAACGTACCTTCCTACATTTTTTAATAATCGAATATATTTCTCAAAGAATCATATATTATATATAATGCTCAGAAAAGAAGAAATAATTTAAATTTGTAATATAGAAGTAAGAGATATAGAATATAGAGAAAATGATAGAAGGAAGGTAATTACTTAGTATTTTTCTATGCGAAGCAAGTTCACGAGACGCGCTACGTTGTGGAATTAAGCGGTTTGTCACTATACCTACGCAGATATGTGATACACAAGCGGGAGAAAAAATGCGCTGCATTATAACAATTTATTGTACTCCGTTTGTTACATTTACAGAACATACAAATATCTCGTAGTCTGTCGAGTATAAAAAAGAAAAAGAAAGAAAAGCGGATGACGATCGCGATATAAATTGTAATGTGAGGTAATGTCTCCGTTCGAATAAGTAATAACTGCCTCGTTATATACATCTTGATTAATATGCAATACGCACCTCTCAATGGTGCTGTGCGCTCTAGAGCGCGCCGAGTTCACTATTAACTAATTATATTAGCCAGAGTGATGATCCCCATCGGGTTTCCACGAGTCCAGTTACACATACACACAGCCATGGAATAAATACTTTTTATCATACTACGGAAAAGCATTTATTGTGTGGCGCTTCGAGCTAGCTTAGAAATTTTTATTTTAACGTATTAAATCATTGCATCTTTTCAAAGTTGAAAGTGTTACTTTTCTTTATATCCGATACCGAATACAAGGAGAAATGTTCTGACTATGTAACGAAGAAGCAATTTTATGCATTATTTCAAAGTTTCGCATATATAAAGTTGTTGTTTTCTTTTATACATATATATAATTTTTAATACTTTTAATTGCGCGCTCTGATCAATTCGAATCCGATCAATCGTCATTCACAGCAATGCGGCAACAATTTCCTAAAATCAATAATTATTAAAAACTTTGGTTTAATTATTAATATTCAAATAAATGCTGATACCTGCATAACGATTCCAACTTTAACGATGATCTGTTAATTCCTTGCACTATACACATTTATATATATGTAACATATATACTATATATACTATATATATCTCTTCTCAGAACCGGAAGAACTTTAACAGCGATATGATGTCTCTGTTAATGCTTGTAATACATTGCTAACTTTACAAGCTGATAATTATTATCCTAATGAAAAGTTCTTTCAATTCATTAGTAGTTTCTTTGCTATTTCGAATTACACATACAAAATGTTACTCGATGCACAAAGTGAATTTTGGATTATACCGAGCCAACTACTGAAAAGTGTTATGGTCGCTGTTAAATTCGTTATGTAATTTACAATAATCTTTGTGCTTTGTAAACGTAACTAGGAATCATATATAACGACTACAAGATTTCTGACTACAATATCGAAGGAAGGTACACTTTGTGAATTCTATCGGGAGAAAGACATTAGGAAAATATCTGTAAAGGAAAAAATAAGTCATGCTATGATGCGATATGTTTCGCCTCGCCCATAGATGATTTTCTCTCTTTCTCTCTGTCTCATAAAGAATATATGACGTTGCTCTTCCGTTAATATCCCTATGTGCTTGCCTATGATATAAGCTTGCAACGCGCGCACGAGACAGTATCGGTAAGGAACGTTCATTTTTCTAAAACCAGTCTTACGATTGCTAGAAGCTTTCGGAAGCATATATTTTTCTAACGACTAAAAAGTTGTGCAGAACGCGTCACCCGACATTTGTCTCTCAATTTATTTCAATAAGTAATTTAATAATACTTACTAAACCTACAATATTATAGGAGATTTCAGTTTTATACTGAATGAGTTTATATTGTATAAGATTTCTTTAAAATTGATATGTAATTTAAGAAATAGGTATTATAGTTTTACAAATGTCATGGGGGACTTGCTCTGCAATATAGATCGCCATTGCTACATTTCGCTGATATCTCGTTTGCTCCAGCTGCTGCATTTTTATAAATAGAAAAAGAATGAAAACAAGTACAACGAATTATAAAGGTCTGTCGTATTTGCTCTCACTCGTCAAATTGCGCAACAGCGTTTTAACTAGTTCCGTATTTGCCGCTCTCAAACATGCCACGTCTGAAGAACGGACTGAACTCTAACAAGGATTGCTTATCTATGTTGCTGAGATTGCCATTATACTTGTATAAGGGCTCGCAGTGCGGCAGTTCCGAGCAAACTTGAATCAATCGACGAAGATATTCTTCGAGGCGTTTCCGACGTTGCCTCGCTACGACCTCATACTTTGGAAAGACCTGACGTGGGGGAAAGCGTATTGCCGCGACCTGTATCGATTAAAAAATTATTGTAACATCAATTATATTTCGCGAGTGTGCAATAGACCATAAAAATAGTCCAAATCACAGGTATCTTTCTCCTTTCTTTTAAAATAGACTTTTTTGACACTTTAAATAACGTACAAGATTGATTTTAAACAAGATTTGTTTTCCAAATATACTCACATGTTTATTAATCTTTTCACTTTCTCACTCTCTCTCTTTGTAATCAAAGTTTATTTGAAACTAAAAATAATTTCTAAGAAATAGAGACCATTTTCAAGTCTATTATCGTCCTACATGATTGATTCAATGCTCCCGTATTTGTGATTTGACTATTTTTACAATTGCTTCGCTATAATTAGTCTGTATAGTATAATTGAGCGATTGATAACGTACCTTACTACCGTATTTTTGTCGCATCGATGTATACAGTTCCCGGAATCTTCTGTATCTACGCAGCAACGTCCAACTATCGTCTCGTGCCACGACTCGTACCTCGTATTCGTAGTGGCTGGACGCGCCAGCTCCGCGTATGACGTACGACGGTACACTGACAATCATGTTAATCACGCTGTCGCAGTCGCCGTCGTTCGCTATCAACGACGGCAGAGATCTCGTGATCGTCAGGGAATACGGACTACTCAAGCGGTCACCGCGATTTTGACTCTGTGGAAGAAACAGATCAATGGGTTGAAATCTCATCGCTATGCATCATCGAAGAAAAGAAGAGAAAGACAAAAGATAATGACTTACCGTCAAATAAACGGTCGAGTAACCCCGATACGAGGATCTTTTAGACGCTAACGATTCCGATAAAGTCTCTTGCTCGGTATTAGTATTAGGCCTGTTATTCCTGAAAAGTTGAGATCTGGTTTGCGCTACCGTTAATAGAATAGCGGAGCTATTATTTGTAGGTTCTACAACACTACAGTAAGCACTTGGTTCGTTTTGTACATAGTCCTCGTTGTTGACGAGCCTATTGTCGCCGTCGCCGTCATCGCCATCGCCGCATTGAAGTTGTCTGGTGGAGTGATTTTTCCGTTCGTCTTCCAACAGCGACACTTCCAGTTCGATCTGCCGCTTCTGTAGGTCCTGCAGTATCATAATCTGCCGATTAAGATCCTCCTTCGACGGGGTACCAGCGTCCAAACATCTCATCACCATCATCCGTTGACGCGCAATTCTTTGGTTGAGTCTCTTCATCGCTGGATTCTGCTGTATCGGGGATTCCAGCGAATCCTGAAGCATATTCTCCGAAATACCGGATACCGTAAGTGGCTTTCTCTCCTCGTCGCTGATCGATTCCATGCCTTTGTCACTGACATTCATTATATTTTTACTCTCCACTTCGGATGAGTTGGTATCATCGTACGTTGAGTGATCGTCTTGTTCGCAGCTTCCTTCCCGTTCCTCGAAATTCACAGATTCGTCCTTCGCGACATCGTTCATCTGCGCCGTATTGGCATCCTCGAAGTTGCGAAGTTCCGGGGAGTCGGCCGCCGCCGTGTGGAACGTCTCCACGGTATCGGAGCTCGGGATACTTTGCAGCAAGTCCGAAAGGATTCTCCTATTGTTCGTCTCCTGGAAGAAGTTGGAGTCGCAGCTGGAGGCTGTTCCGATGCAACAATTTAACGAACGATCGTCGTCGTCCGAAGACGCGGGTAGAGCGCACTTCAGATCCAGCGACAGACTTTGCTTCCGGCGGACGATTTCCTGAAGTTGTTCCTGACTCCGTTTAGCCAGCAACAATTTCTTTTCCGTTGCTCCTTCGGTGCCCATCTAAAACCATCACAAACGTCTGTAAGCACAACGTTTTCGCGAAGCGAAAATTTGTATTCTATGCGGATATACTTTAAATATCTGCTTTTGCCTCTTCGCGATCTCCATCAGCTCCTCCTCCATCTTATCCACCTTGCTCTGATGTTCGTTCAGAGACTTGACCTTGTTCTGCAACTCGTTCTCCAAGGCAGCCAGCTCTTGCTTCTATATTTGAAAACAAATTAGTTTTCAAGGAACAAAAAATGGAACTAAATTAAAGGAGAGGCTCAGCTTTACTCACGTGATGATTGACCAGTTCCCTCACGTTGTCGATGCACCTTTCGTCATTGAGGCTGGACCACGACTCGGGTAGACTGTCGTCGCTACCGGCGCCGTTATCCGTCTGAAATACATTTCGCTTCGCATTCTATAAACTTATACATCGAATTGTACAATGTATATATTTCTTACTTATACGCAACACAATCTAACACTCGGAATATTTCCATCATTTTATTCATTATCGTGTACTCGTGAGAAAGAGAAGTAGTGTATTGTATAAAAAAATATGTGTGTATGTGTAAAATGTTGTCTGCGCGCGATGATGGATTATAAAAAAATTATAAACAAAAAAATATATAATGCGAATATATATACGTATATGCGTGTCGCGTTATTTATAATATGCGTGCGTGTCAAAAATTGAAAGATACTCCCGTTTCCTATGGCGAGTAGATAATTCTTACCTTTTCCCACTGATGCTGATAAGTTTGCGCGCGTTCATGACTGTTGACGAGCTCTTGCAGCTGTCGATGCTTGGACTGCAATAATGTGCGCAGATAGGCGACTTCTCTACACATATTTTCTACCTGGTACCACACACAACACATACCGATGCGTTAACAAAAGAGATAAGTAACCAAGGGTAATTCAAAATCAAAGATGATTCGCTCAAACATATCATTTACATCAAAATTAAAAAATTGAATTAAAATTTCAGGCCGCAGAGAATGTAACGTTTCTATAGCTGTACGAAGCTGTATATCGGTAGCTGCTAAAGATTGATAAGAATAAAATATAGATTTTTTCGTTTTTTTTGTCGAGATGCACAAAAATACCTCTTGCTCCACCCAGATTGATTGATTGATCAATAAAACGTTTTGAGCGACATGATATGTAAAGAATATATATGTGCACTTTTAATTTTATTCTTGCTCATGTCTTTAGAGAGCTCGAGTAAATGAATTAAATTAATATAAATTGATAAAAACATATATATAAATAAAACGAATAAAGAAGTAGCAAGTGCAGCTTTTGCAATACAGTGTTATTTCGAGAAAATGATAAAAGTTTTTCCTCACCTTAATCAATTAGTATTTGAAATTGTGCTCATGCGGACGGATTCCCGAGGTGCGACGAGTTAATGAGAAACTGGGTTTGTTAATCGGGAATATATCAAGTCGATCGAGTACGTAAAATCTTGAAAAATTATGTGAGAAACACATGAGAGAGAAAACAATGAGAATGCGTGCGAATTGTTTTGTGGAGGATCAAATGCCACTTTTTGTATGAAAAATTTATTAATCAACAATATATATCAGTATATAACAATAATTAATTCTCCATCTAATATCTTTATATCTCGCATAACAAACCCATAGACTATCCCATATATCAACCCATATCTCTATACAAACAAGCCCAAAAGATATGTATATACATACGTTTCACTTCTATAACACATTCTCTACTTAAATATATAACATTCCAAGGAATGCCATTTTTTGTGTCCGGCAATATCTTTTCAGCACTAGCACTGTTTCTTTCCTTTTCTTTTTATATAATCGGCGGCTTATTATACATGTAACGTGTAAACACGCAATTTGTTAAAACGCATAAACGATTTGTAAATAATACGTTAATACGTTAATTGTAAATAGGCGCAATATATCCGAAGATTCCTTGAGGGAATCAAAAAATAATCTCATGTAGACGCTCTCGTATATAGATAGCGAACGCAAGTCTCATCGCACACGACGATAGGGAATAGAGCCTTCTATTAAAGGATATGCACAATATATCGATAGGCCTGGTAGACATCGATAGACAAAATACCGTGTATCTTAATCACAAGAATTTTGGTCTGGATCGAAAATATAGTTTCACAATTAATCGAAACACTCGCATATGTTTGTCGGACGAATCGTGTGGCATCACATGTTTAACGGACAAACGTGCGAGTAGATGATGATGTTGCCAGACAAGCAAATAAGAACAACGATAGCGACAAGGACGAGATAGAATTGATACTTGATCGAGATTACATTCAAGTCCGGAGGCGCGTCCGAGTCACTTACTTGCGTCATTTCGTCCCGTCGCTCTTGCTCCAGGAGATGTCGTCGCGCGCGCAGCTCGCGCTGACGCGTTTCCAAGGCCGAGATCGCGTCCGCCCATTCCTTCCATTGCGCGCCCCATTCGCGTTCCAATTCGCGCTGGGCACCTTCCAGCGCTTCTCTTCTCTGGGTCCACCTCTCTTCTCGCTCCTCTTGTTCCCTCTGCAGAAGGAGAGTGCGATTACTTGAAATTCAACGTGAAAAGTGTCGAGATACTTTAACACCTCAAATCCTCACCAGAGCAACGAACAACTTTTTCTTACTTATCGTTGGTAAATGTTTCAAAATTCGACATATATCAACTTGCGACAACATTCTGTTCATATTGAGGCAACATAATTACAGGAACATTTGGGTTTTGTTCCTATTCCCGTTGTAACCGCGACTATGTCACTGAAAACTGAAGGTCCACACTGAAGGAACATATTTGTTCCTTTGCGACTTGTTGACGCGTGTTGTTAATTTTTCTTTTATCTTTATCGCTTCGGAAACACGCAACAAGCGGCAACTTTTATTGCTACAGAAACAGTAAGAAACTTTAAGAAACTCTTGGCAACAACTAGCAACTTTTTTAAGAAACATTGAACATGAATAAAAGTTGCTCGTTATTGCTCCAGTGAGGACGCAGCTTTAGCATTACGAACCTTGAAATCTTCCTTCTCCTTCAGAAGCGCGGCCTTCTGTTGTTCCAACTCCTCGACCGCCCTGAGATCCTCGCTTGAGTTGACGAGATTATCACTGGAGCAGGAAGCATGCAGATCGGAGACGCTCCAGCTCAAGAGCGACAATCTGGATAGATTGACGACCGTCGACTGTAAATTGCCGTTGGCCGAGCCGCCCTCCTTCCGGAGTTTTGCCGCCTCGGCCGGGTCGTTGTATCGAAACATGTTGTTCCTGCCGAGGAGGATGATGCAGCCTTGCGACAGTCTCGTCGGCTTGTCCACTTGGGCGGTATTGATCCAGCAATGAGGTGAGAGCGGATGCAGCGTCGCAACGCCGCTGTCTAATTCGACCACGCAATGTTCCGATTCCACATCCGCGCCGGTGAGCACAATATCCTATTTGTTATACAAGTATAGTCAGTACTTGTAATTGTTTCGTTGTTAATCAGTCCAAGCGAAATAATTTTCATGATCGAAATCTTGGTTTTTATTTATATTAAAGCGATTAGCAATTTAAAAACTAAAAATATCTAATCTTAATAGTCTTATTGATTAAACTGTGTCAACAAGTGTGTCGAACGTCCATTTAATTACCTGGACAACGGGAGCTTCTTCCGTGCCGACTAACGTTTTTCCCTCTTTCAGATGATATAATGTGACGCCGGTACTGAGTAGATCGTCGTCGATGCCAACCAGATGTGGCATTTCAGAATCGAGGACGACACCGACTCCGCTCTTTCGTAGTCCCAGCGCTTTTTGTTCCTGTAGAATTTGTTGCGTCTCTCGCCACTTTTCGGTCCATTCTTCGGTTAATACCTTCTCTTGTTCTTGCTTCTCCTGGATTTGAGCCAACAACACTTGCGGTGGCCTCTCTACGCTCTATAAAAAAAATAATACATTTACCGCGCGCGTTAAATAACGAAACTTGGAAAGAGTGTGTGGTGATTTCCAGAATACTTGCCATATTCTTATCGATAAGAGACTTCAATTTTTCTATCTCAGCCCTGAGTTCCCTAATGAGTTTCACGTTCGCGTCTTCGTTGATGGTCGGCTTGTTGATGATATTTTTCGCACGATTGGCGTATCTGAGTGCGCTGAGAGTATCGTTGTAATTACATTCCGCCGGACTGATAGTCGCTATCATGATAGTCTTGGAATTACCGCCGAGGGAATCCTTCAGCAACCACGTCAACACGCTGTCCCGATAAGGGATAAACGCGTTCCGCTTCGAGACGGATGCGTCACCGCTCGCGGAACTTAATTCCGAAAGCGTGGATATCACAGTGCCTAAAGTCACCAAGGACTTGTTGATGTGCGCGCCTTCCTTCAGTCGCTGACCCGTCGCTCCGGTCGCGTTCGCACGCTCGCTAAAAGAAGAGAAAGACGAGTACAGTGATTTATAGAAAAAAAAAAAAAAAAAAAAAAAACATTTTTCTCGCGCGGTGTATGTTAGTTTGCTTTGTTTTTCTTATTTGATTTTTTTAAATTTTTGCACGGATGGATTGGAAAATAAGCTTGGCTTGCTGATGCTTTTCTTTTTCGAGACTACCTTCCGGCCAAGTCGACAAGGTGCACCTTGGAAACAGTCTCCGACGGCATGTTGCCTTCCGAGAGGCCGGCCTGTACGAAGGTTATCGTAAAAATCGCGTGACTCCTGCTACTCACGTCGTTCATCTTTGTGCTGGCCGTAGTCCTGTGCGTATTACCTCTCACCATGCATTCCTGGAATGTGAATAGTTTACCGTTTATCGATGCCGCTTATATGACACGTAGCTATGTGTAATCCTGTTTATAGTAATTTATTTTTAAATTACTTTTATTATGTATTTTCGTTCTCTCTCATTTATTAAAATCGCAATACTGAACAAAATATATTCATGTCGAATTATGATTGTAAATTTATTTTATAAATTAATTATATAATAGAATTAATTACAATTTTTTCGGTATTGCAATTTTTTAATAAATCATAAACTTAATAGGATTCAATTTTTTTTCAATTTACCTGAATATCCGAATAATCATAAACGAGATGACACGACAGATCTTGGACATAGGGCCCTCCCGTGGGATGTTCCCGTACCCTCAGCGAATGAGATTGGCTTTGGTCCAGTCTGAGCAAATCTCTCACTCTCTCATTATAGATTTCTAGGAACGATACTTCCGTTCTGTACGACGCTCCGCTCTCTTTTCCGGCTGCCATTCTGGCGAAGAGCGTCTTGCAGATCCGCGGTATCAATCCCTGAGATTCCTACGTGAACGTATATAATAATAAATTACAAAAGAAAAGCTATAGATAGAAAAATATAGAGAAAAAGAAAACTATTGATTGTGAGACGGAATCTCAATGTGTCGTATTTGCCTCACTAAAGATGGAAAAAGTTTATTTAATTGTAATATGAAATATGAATATTGTTTGCAAGATTTTACATAGATTTGTGGTTCATTTTTGTAATTTATTTAATTTTTATATTTTTCCTTTCGGTTTTATTTTTTAATTTTATGTCAAAAAGTATTGATGTTTTTCCATCTGTATAGTAAAAGTGCAAATATAAAAAAAAAATGATTTTGGACGACTTAGTTGCCATCATTACCGGTGTGCCCATCATTGTAAATGTCTTTCCGGATCCTGTCTGGCCGTAGGCAAAAACGCAGGCATTGTAGCCCTCGAAGGCACTTTCTATTACGTCCGTACCAAGATCGTAGAAAACCTAGATAGAGAATTAGAAATTGAATTAGCCTTATCGACCCGAAAGAAGAATACGAAGGAGTATCTCGCTTTAATGAAAGGAAACCTTATCGGTTTTCATCCAACAAACTTTCGACCTACCACAACTACGTGCGACCCACTAGCAATCGTATATAATGCATGTTTTGTATAATGACATCTAATTAAATCGTAACACTCTACGTAATAAATGATTATATCCACACACAGGCCAGAACAATTATTATAACAATCACATACATTATGTCGTTTCGCATAATGATGAGATATCATTCTATTATATTTACACACTGCATACTGCATTTTGCTCGGACAGTTGGAAATCAGTCAAGTATCAATATGAATTATAATGAACAGCTGTTTGAATGCTGCTCTTCTCACACTTAATTTTGCAGCTATGCTATTATATTTCTAATTGTGTACGATTCATTAACAGCACGATTAATAAGCTATTGTAGTGCAACAACGAGTGTTTGATCAGTGATGACGTTGTTTCACAAATGTTTCGTGCGTTTTCAACCATCAAATATCTTATCTTTAATCGCGAAATTTCAAACAAATTATTTTCATTTTATTCCATTTTTTTTCTCGTTTCTCTCAGTTGAAAAAACTCGATGACACGTACCTTTTCTTGGGACGCATAATTTTCGTCGTTCGGATCGAAGGACCAGTAGGAGTGATCGAACGTAAAGTCTTTGTACTTCCTGCGGTCGATATCTCTGCAGCTATCCGGTGTCTGTAAACAATGAGTCATTACATTTTAATAGTTATAGTCATTGTTGCATGTTTCGTTATCGCCGCGTTAATGTTAAAGTTCAATTGTCGAATGATATATAATTGTCGATGGAATGTGTCGAATGTTAAGGATTATCTCTGCAAGGTGAGCGACAAGATTACAGTTCAATATAATCTCTCTGCATATTTAATATAAAAAGTACATAACTATAAACTATATGCTATTCGAGGAATGCCCTATATCTGTGTTTTCGTGGAAAGCTACTGACTATGTCATTTCAAATCGTCGGACTTGCGTTCAGAGCTGGCTATATGCATCAGTATTCGCGATATAACACGTGCATTCCTCAGGCTGCACACCCTACACAAGTGATGATGACATGAAAAACTATTGTCTAACAAAATCAGATTTACTAGGAAATACATTATTTCCGAACAAACCATTAAAAAAGAATCACGCACTATTTTCTTAAATTAAAAATGTCACGCAAATGAAATGCAGGATATGTATTTTAAATGGTTACTTGACTTTGACTTATTCTGAAACAAAATCTCGCTAAAAATTTAAGCGATTTTAAATAAGCGATGAAACAGGAGAAAGAATAATAATTGTTACTTTTGATTTACGCGGACATAAAATTCGACGGAAAGTTACTTATGAAACAATTGCTGGGAATTTTGCTCTGCATTATACAGAAAATGAATGTAAAGTGGATATAAGTGATTAAAACCAGAGCAATTTTCTCACATCAATCTCACTTTTATGATTCCGCACGTTTTTAACTTATATGCTTGTATGATCGCTACGTGGTTGGTAAGCGATCTATTAATTTGCATAATTACCTATGCAAATTTTTAAATCTCGTTACATATGTAAGATCTGAAAATTATGCTAGTATGCAAAAATTTCTTTGCTTTGAATATCGATAAGTCTGACTAATTAATAATCAATGCTTATACGAGAGAGAAAATTAAAAAATGTTTATATAACACACATTTTTTAAGATATTTATAATATTTATAATTTAAAAATATATATACAGAGTATATCTAAATAAGTGCAGAAAATTTTAAGAGATATAATTTTTATCGAAAATTAAAGGGGATTTATCTTATATAGATACACCCCGTATTCACAATTCTTAATCGTATTCTTATCTTATTATCCGTCCATAATTACGATTTGAATTTTATTAATATTATTAATATACGCGACAGACAGTGTTAATTCTCGATTTTTATTCGAAATCGATCAAGTGCGCCTTTTACGGCCAAGGCTGCGCTTTAATTCCGCACTTGCCGGGGATTTTCTCGCTTACTCTCCTCGACGCGGGAGATTGGCCTTCTTCTTCGATTAGAACGAGAGATCGCGCGGATAACAGTTAATTAGATGCGGGTAAAACGTGAATTATTATTATTATTATACAATGCGGACATGCGTTGCTCGCCGCAATGCGATTGCTCGCTCTTGTTGCGGTCCAGCCGTCATTTTCGCACTTTCTCCTCACCGCATACCGTTATCCTTCCTGAAGATTCCGACGATTCGTCGGTCAGAGACAGCCTGATGTGTTCATCGAACGTGGTTGAAACATTTCCTTTTTTTCGTTTCGCAAATAATTCTCCACAAAAATTTATCGCCGCATAAATCAAAGGAAAAACAATGTAATAAATAACTTTTTCACGTTACAATTCTCTCTCTTTTTTTATTATTTACTTTATAAAACCGCCAGCGATTTTGTTTCAGAAAGAAAGTCAAAGTTCTGGATAATCATCTAATTTTATTTTTAAAAAATGTCTGCTTTTTAATTATTTGCGTGATTTAATTATTTTAATTTAAAAAACTAGCGCGTATAATATTTTTATCTTTAAGTATACCTATGTTTTCCATCAGGTTTAACTTTGTTAGACAAAAACTTTCTGTTTTCGTTACGATCAAAGTTTATTTATCATGCAGAGATCGAACGATCAAAAGTTCATTTTAATAATTAAGAGTCACGGCAATCCATTGAATTCGCTCGAGCAGAAATTATGAGACTAAACTTGCGAAACTATAATAGCGAAAAATAAAAGATTGCCGCGTCATAAATATCTGCTTAGAAATCTTTTTTAGAAAGTCTATTTAAGTCTATTATTCCTGGGTGCTCACAAAGTTTATACGCGCTTGTATACATGTATACAAAATTATGCAGCTAACAATATTGCTGATAATAATAACCGATTAATTTTGTACTTCAAGCTTTTTATATTTTTATATTTTTATATTTTATAAGAAGTTTCTATTCAATATAATATATATTTACTGAAATTTTAAAATCCGGTAAATTCAACATAATTTGCGCGGCAAATCTCTCTAGAGCAGACTTAATCGACAGATTACAATTGTAGATTGAAAATACGCAATCAGACCGCGCGGAATCGAGCCTCGCGATATCGCAATTCACCGTATATACCGTCATAATATCGTTGTAACGAATAAAATTTGATATCTTGCGATATGCTCGCGCGATTGGAAATTTGCGATCCGGGCACTTTGGAGAGTACGAGTGTGATTCTGTGATGTAATCGCGCTTACATCACATCGGCGTACGGGCCTTCGGTTTATAAACATAGATTCAAAACGCAAATATGTGCGACAACAACCATTTTTAGCGCACCGTATAGGTGCGTACAACAGGTTGGTATATTTGCCTACGCATTTCATCTGAGACTACTTTTATGCCTCGACGACCTTATGGCAATCTTTATATTTAGTATTCGAAATGACTAAATATAAATGACTAGACATTTAAGATTTTTTTAGTATTTCGAATAAAAGTTTTATCGAAGCTAAATACATTTGAAAACTAAAGTGGATATTTTTTTTAGTTATCCGCAAATTCAAGGTTTGCATTAATATGCAAAGAAAAAAATTATTTCAATTAAAAGTTATTTCAATTAATAAAAGATTAGCATATATATATATTATTGACAGAAACATGTATGAAATAGTCAAGCATTTGTTCTAGACTGTAGAACTTTGACTTTGGAATTTGTACCAATTTTTCGTTCATATTCTCTTCTCTCTCATCTTATTCACGGAATACCTTCTTAAAGATTGCGTTGTATACTTAAAAGCGCCCCTGGTTTCTGCTATGCAACGTTTGCATGCGATCGTGAAACAAGACCGAAACCGGCTCTGGCAATTCTCATGTATTTTTATTTTTGCGATCTCGCTTTGAATGCGAGCGCTGGCTTTCGAGTTCCGTAGGAGTGAAATATTACGATATTTCAATTATTCAACAAAATCGGATGTGATTCTGTACATTTCGACGAGGAGGCAGAAGGAAGGAGACAATAATGCGGGACTTGATGTCTACCTTGGTATTGAAGATCCGCGTCCTCTTGCCATCCATCTGCACAATCAGCTTCTCGTTCATCGCCACCTCCCTGCAAAGTAACAACAACACATGAGCAACAAATACACATATGCACTGTATATATCTGGCATCCGATTTTCCGTCCGTCTGGCATTGTCCGACAATGAGGATTGTCCAGAAAACCACGGAATTCGGAAACCGACGAGGCGCGCGAGACGTATATACGTCAACCGTAATGCACACCAGTCGATACCACGATGACATAATTGTGTCGTGTGCTGTCAATAACATCTCATTCGATATATATATATATATATATATATATATATATATATATATATATATATAGCGGCCAGTTTTCAAACGTTGCCGTCGTTTCTCCAACTTTTTGTATGGGTGACGAATACGATATTTAAACAGAACGTTGCTCCGAATTGCTCATATACTTATCAGAAAACACAAATGACATTCGATGTTATTCGTGCAATGTTTTATATTGTCATCGATAAAAAATTGTATTAATTATACAAAATATTTTCACGATTAAAATCTTTTAAACATTCAATTATATATTTTTAATCTTTTACGACAACGTGATTTAAACAGTTATTAAGAATTTCAAATCCGTATACTTAAATTAATTGAACGTAATAAAGAACAAAGAACAAATGAAGACATCTTTCTTACAAAATGTAAAAGTGTCTGCAAAAATATATCCCGAGAGAACAAAGTAAATAAGATAAAATGGAGATGCTAATGAATCATATTTGCCTTTTATGTATATTATTTACTTTTAATTTTATATTGCAGACTCTTTTTTTAATTGCACGAGAACCGAGCGTGCAATAAAATATATACATATAAGCGTTCAGATCAACCTCAATCATCACCAGATCACAATGATGAGTCAGTCACTCATCCATTGTCTATGGTTTGGACCATGCACGTGCATATCAACAGCATACTTCATATTTATTGTCAACAATATTAAATGCAATGATTCTGTCACCAAGATATAATATCCAATGATCAGTACGCCGTAATCGATGAGATGTTATTGACCGCAAATTAATTGCGTAATGGTATCAACTGGTACAGCGATATAAACAACGTGGAAATCTATACAGCCAAAGAACGTTTTGAATCTACAATAATGTTTCCTTTTTGAGTCATTAAAATTGTTTTTGCAGCAAATGCGACTGATGCAACGCGGTACACGCATCAATGCGCCCTAAATATCTCGTTTCCGGAAAACGTGACGTTAAAAATGCGTATATACTAATATATTGATTCTACAGATCTCTGACCGATTAACGCGCATTATATTGAATTTCATGAACGATGCACTTTGAAACGTGCACCTCGTTCGGTCTAACTCGCAAATGCGAGAAGAATTCGTCGCATCATTCGCACTGCAGATTCATTCCAGAATCTCCTAATTGTCGGAGAGCACTCTTTCATTCATCGCGCAAACGAATGGAAAACACACAAAGGATGACATCGAAGAGGAAGAGGACGACGAGCTCTTCCGTCAGCAAATTACGCACCTCTTGTTGAAGGGTCGAACCCTCACGGCCACCTTCACAGAAGCCATGGTTCCGTGAAGAGGAGCGCATGGGGCCAGACAAAACAGGCGGTCGCTGTCACCGTCCTCTGCGGCGACGACGATGACGCGACGAAGGCCACCGCCTTCGGCCGCGCGAATAAATGCACGACGACGCTCCGCGGCGTCGCGTATCTACGGAAGACGCTGGCGTCCTCGTCGAGCGTCCTCGAGCGCGTCCAGCAACAGCGACATCGTCACCTCCGCAAGCGCAGCACACACGCTCCTGCGATTCACGGACGACCGCGAGTAACTGCTGTGCTCTGCCTCTGCTGCGCCGAGCCGAACCGAGCGGAGCGAAGTGAACGCGCACGCGCATCACTTCCTTGCGACTCGATTGCGAGCGGATTCTAGCCACGAAGGCCGTTGTCGTCGCCTGGAATTATATGCACGAGATATTCAAATTAATGTGTCTAACCGTACGGAAAAATTAATAAATAATATACACTAAAATAATATCAAAGGAAAAAATATTCTGTATCATTAGTAAAGTGAGAAAAATTACCTTCAATAAATATTAGCCATATTTTAGACTTATATATATATATATATATACTATATATTATTGAGTCATTATTAATTCAATATATATATTGAGTCAATATTTATTCAATATATTGAATATATATTGAATATATAATGAATATATAATTCAATATATTGAATAAATATTGACTCAATATATCGAATTAATATTGACTATATATTATTGAGTCAATATATATATTAATTCAATATATTGAGTCAATATTAATTCAATATATATTGAGTCAATATTGATATGTGACAAATTTATTGACGAATGCACTTCGGTGCGTCGTAGGGTTGGCATATCTAGAAGACCAAGGGCGGAGAAGTGGAACGTGACGTGGACCAGGGTGCTTCTTAAACAGGTTTGCGTCTTCCTTCGCGCAGTGACGTCATAAGCGGTCGTTCGCGAGCTGCGCCACCCACGCGACGAAGAATGAAGAGAGAGAGAGAGAAAGGCGGGAACGACAAGGCATAGGGATCGTTAAACCGAATCACTTTGCGGTTTCTTCGACGCGTATAACGGCGGTCGCAACGAGAATTCGCGTCTTGTCGTCCAGCTGCTGGTGCGACCGGACAAGACACCCGTTTGCCGGCTCGCGCTGGTTAAAAAAATGATATGATATAGCTAGAGTATCAAAGTAGATATAGTACGATCGACAAACCTTTTGATAGTTTTCTTTACATTTGCTTACATATCCTGAAGACAAGAGGTTGTTAAATCCAGAGAAATTGTGAATGATTTGATATAAAAGGATATATCAGAGATCATGAAACATTGAATTATTTTGCGGAGAAGCGACAATTAATAGAGCTCGGTGACTCCGATTTGAAACGTGAAAATAGGGAACATAGATACGCGTCTCCGTCGAACGTCATTGGACAATTTAAAATCGCATTCTTACGTGCGATTGGTTCGACCCCTTTTCTATATGTGCGCATTTTTATCGGCGATTTCTGAATACGGACCAATCGCGAGCCGCCTTTTCCCGCGAATTTTAAATGCGGCAAAGCGAGCGAGTATGAATGGATTAATAAAAAAATCCGAGCACGCGTTTTCTTCGTATAACGGCATGTGCTGTTTTGCTTCCGCGAAGTCGTTTCTTAATTCCTTCTTTCATTATACGTATAGTTTATCGCGCGTAACAAAAGATTCAACGAAGCAAGATTTTTTTAAAGGGATACAATATTCTAAAATGTTTACGCGGTTAAAATTAAATTATATATACGTATAATAAATTTTTCAAATAAATAAACGAAAATTAAATTATTCTTATATGTAAAAATATTGTTCCTTTCCCTCTTTGTTCCATGAAAATATTTATTAAATAAATCTGCAAGTATATACTTGTATATAGGTATCGTCTTAACAAGCAGCAGGATAGATTGCGAGAACCTTGAAGAGCCGCGCATATGGTTACACGATACGTGTTCGTGCATAGTGATTCATATCATAACGCGATCGATTCATAATTGCGTTTGCGTCGTAGATTTATTTATAAGCATAGCGCACTTCCGGAAACCTAAATACGGTAGCGAGATCGGTGAACCAATCCTGTATCATTGACCGTATAATAATGCATCGTTAATAATTAATGCAGATAAATATCACCTGACAAAAGAGCACATAAGTTGAAAAATTTTTATATGTAATTTTTTACTAGACACATCGCATATAATATTATTTATCAAATTATAAGAGTAGCTAGAAGATAGATATGTTATTTATTTGAATCGTACAGTAACTTTCTTCAAATTCTAGTGCAATTTATACATACATATGTTGATGAAAAAGTTTGAGTTTTTTTTAAGATCAGATAATTTATATATGTAAAATTTTATTAAACAATATTTTGTGCGTATATCAATAATTTGATGCCTTCTGCCATCTTTCGGAGGGTTTCATTATTACTTTTTTAAACATTTTTTTCGGCGTTCAATTTCTTTCTTTACCGACCAAACTTTCGCTCGATTTCTGTAGATGGCAGCACTAGCACGCAAATTTTCAAGTTTTGATAGTCGGTAAAGAAACGCTACATTACGTTATAAAAATAGAGCTTTTTTTATTCGTATCGCTGTGTTGAAAAAAAGTCACCTACAAGGTAAAAATATATAAATATTAATATTGCCATATTCTCGTGAGTCTTAAGTACTTTAAACACATGATTAAAACACTTTCTCTGAACATATTTTGAGTTATTCCAATCAATTGGAAGTTTACTAATATTTCTTTATTTCTTTCCAATTTTGTCTTTCAATGACCTCGATATTACGACTAAGATATATATTTTAACATTTTCAATTATCAAAGTGATTTTTAATTGCCCGAATGAGGTAGCGATCATGTAATATTTTTTTTCTACAGCGAAAATGTGCAAAATTTGCCATAGAATATTCGCAAATTTTTTTTACATTTCTTTTTTTAAATAAAATAAGCTAACATCGCTACTCTAGCGAAGAGCGAAGCATTCGGCGGAAGTAGTGCACCCCAAAGTAAGATGCGACCTCGAGAAATTCGAGAGGGCGAGAGCGAAAATCCCCCCGGCAACAGCGGCGGAGCAGAAGTTATCGCGCGCCTTTCCCAGCATCCGGAGCGGCCGACCAATAAGGTCGCTTGGCAACGAACGACGGGATGAGGCGACGCGCGCGATTGGTCGGCTGGCGCGCGCGAGTGGGGCGACACGCGTGGCGCAGGAACGGGAACACACAAGCGTTTTGCTCTCAATGTATCGGCGGACCTCCACGGCGCATGATCGCTCGGAGGGAGAGCTGCGTGCGCGGGCAGGTTTTTCCGGGTCGTTCGCCCTTGTCTGTTTACAACGAAAATTCGACGAGGGTAAAAGACGCGTTCTGTTTGCGAGACCGGAAGGAGAGTCGCGCGAAACGTCACTTCGCGAATTATACGTGCGCGAAAGTTGATCGCCGGCGAGGATGGCCAGCCCCCTGTTTGTCACGAGAAAGGATGCTAAGGGTTCCTCCAAAGGGTTCTAACCTTCCTCGGGGAGCTTGCGCTGTAGAAGGGGTATGAGGAGGAGGGGGAAAGCGAGACAGATGCGAGGTGCACGTTTCCCGCGCGACGCGCACGTGAGTACAGTGCGAAGTGAGTCGAGCGTTGCGTCAACATTCGCGAAACGTCATCCCGCCTTCGTTCAACTTGCAGCTCGCTTCGTGCGGGACGTGATTAATGTGAAAACGATCGGGGCCGTGAAATGATATTTTTTTGTGCCGATATCGAGAGGAATCGGTTTCTTTTTCGCGCAGGGTAGAGTCGCGAGTGAGAGACAGCTCGAGGATGTTTTGTGTCGTCGAATACGTGTGAGCTGTTGTTCATCGATCTCTATGGATTTATCGCGTCAAGAGATACGTCGCTTTCGTGAGAAAACGTCGTTTACGTTTCCGAGATTTAATCTGAGGATATCGATATGCTAACACGTCAGAAAAAAACTCCTAATTTATACATCGATATATTTGTCTCGTAAATAGAGAAGTGTGATTTTTCCGATTATATATATCGCTTCTTAAATATTACAGTGATGCCATAAACAAAAGTCAACAGTAACCTAATTGAAGAAGAAAGATAAACAGGTATGAGAAACTGTTCTATATCCTTAGCTCATCGATGACCCGAGACAAATAATAAAGTGACCTTTGTTTGGTTAGAATCAGGCATACAACTGACCTTGTATACTATTGATGACAACTTGCGAAGATGTCGCTGCCCCGGAAAGCGAGGTAGTCGCATTCGTGGTTGTTCCTGCGTGGAAGGATCTCGGTTGCGAGGTAATAAAACATCCCGAGCGCAATGGAGGAAGTCGAGAGCATGCACCAGACGCCGCACACCAGCGGGCACAATTCCCACGACAGCGTCGACAGCGGCTACCTGTCAATCCTGACGCCGCACACCTCGATATCCGGCTACAGGACCCGCTCGTCCTCCGGCGCTCTATTGTCCGCGAAGAAGCACTGCAGATTCCGCGCCGATCCGTTTCAGTGCGAGAAGACGCAGAGACGTCGTTCGAAGCTCAGTCACACGTTGAACGCCTCGGAGACCTCCGTCGAGTCGCAGGAGTCGGTGCTGGAACCTTCGTGCAATGTTACCCAGGGTCCGGGTCTGGCGCACTCGACGCCGAGCTGCGACAGCAACGCGGAAATTTTCAGGCTCAAGGACAAGAGGAACTGGAGGACCACGGTGCTCATCACTCCCGCGTCCCAGGATTTTCAACTCTGGTCGCCGCCACCGTCCCCGGCGATACCATCCTATTCTGACGTGGCCTCGGAGCCCGGAGTCCAGGAGGATGTGGAAATGAAGCTAGTCCATACGGAAGATAGATCGCAGGTCGCGACACCGCCGAGACTGAAAGCCGCGTCGCGGATCATAGTTTCGCCGGCCCGCAAGAGGAACGGCTCCACAATCACATCGGTGGAGAATAGGAAATTGAGCAAGCTGTATATTACGGAGCTGGCCACCGTAGCTGAGATCAAACCGAAAAGGCTGGACTTCGGTCACCGTGGCGTAACTCTGCGAAGCAATCGCAGAGCCACGTTGGATTATACCGGAAGGGAGAAGGTGGACTTCTTGTCTCTTCTGGGCGAGGAGAGCAACCACTTGAACTTGGTGTCGAAAATTCTGTCTTATCTCGGCGCCCCGGATTTGTGTTCGGTCAGTATGGTGTCCGCGGTTTGGAAGAGGATCTGCGAGAGTGATTTTTGTGCCAACGAGAGAAGAATGAGTTATATTCTGTGCAAGCAAAACATTAAGGAGAATCTGAGGATGATGAAGAAGGCGAAGCACGAGGAGGATATACAAATGAGTCCTAGGGGCAGACATTACGCCAGGAAGGGCTTCCTGCTGGATGTACAAAACTTGATTTGCGTTCAAGCGAAGGCGCCCAACAGCCCGCCTGTCTCGCCGAGCAAAGTCAAGTTTCACTCCTACGTCAAGGTAAGTCGCCAATTTACGTATACATAGATCTCATGGTGCTCTTTTAATTCAAATATCTGCTTATGGATAATAAAATTCAACTCGATTTATTTACAAATTAATAATAATTAAAAAATCATAGAGAAATGATCGATAAATCTAATGGAGAGAATATGAGTAGAAATTATTCCAAAGTAGGTATTTATTGAATCTTCAACTTCTATCATGTAATTGGTTTTTAAACGTGAAATATTACAAGAAATATTGCTGCATATAAAATATTGTTTGTATAGTGTTACAATTAATTTTTGTCTGCTTTAGAAATTCTATTTTTATTTAAAAAATTAGAGCTTATATTTACATGTTAGAGTTTAAATATTTGAAAAATATTTTTGCACATTACAATGCAATTTTGATAATTTTTCCGAACGAATTTTTATGATAGAATATAATTGTGAGAAAAATGTATCCAAGTTTCAAAGAACTATGTTGCATTACACTTCTTCTCAGGGTTCTCAGATGTTTGACACCCGCGAGAACAAGTAATGCATGTGTCATTCCGTCGAGAATCGTATTCGATGCGTTTATCTCATAACAGCGAGATAATTTGCAGTTGGTATCCGACCGAGAGATGCGATCATCTCTCTTTAATATGATACATATATCTTTAATTGAGTAATGATAATTTATAATAATTCGGGATATGGGGAAAATGACTGTTTTATCGAAAAAATCACGTTTACATTTTTGACAGTATTGCATTATCACTTTAAGATTTATAATAATACTAAGTAAGCTTGTTGTGATTATTCTGATTTAAATATGAATCGTCTATCTTGATTTATTATAAATGATTTCATTATTTTGAATGCTTATATAAGTATCTCTTGACAGTATAATAAAGTTTTTTCTTTTAACTAACTGTAAGATCTACTCTAATTTATGTTTAATATTTTTCTTCTACTGTTTTTATTAATATCGTAGTATTTTATTGATTGATTTATTTATTAATATTTTACTAATTTTCTTCTATTACTTTTATTAAAATAGTAAGATATTAACAAATAAATATAATAATAAAAAAATATTAAATAAAAACAAAATATAGAAGAAAATATATTAAACATAAATTGGTTGATTGGTAGATCTTATTTTTAGTACATATGTATATATCAATAAAATAATTACATATACTAAAAATAATTTAATATGAAAACTAATGAACTAATTTCTCTCTTAAAATAATAATTTGATATAATTTAATGTGTGCACTCAAAAAAATTATTGACTACATCTTTCAACTAAATTATATACTATTTATTATTTGAATATATATTAGTATTTAAGTCAAATATACGTTTTGTTAGATTTAATATGTTATATTCAATTTAAATATTTTTATATGTTTAATTAACAAAATAATATTTAGTTGAAAGGTTTAATCAAGTTAACAATTTTTTCTCAATGTATATATTTATACAACGCACACACTAGGCGTATCAAATTGTCTTATGAAAAAATATTGCATTTATTATTAACGTTAAATAATTAAAAATTGGTCAGAAATCATTAATCTGATTTTTATGTGGTGATTTTGTATGATAAAATAGACAATCATATTACGTGCATAATGCGCGGTATTTTAATCGCGATGACAAATGCACCTTCCCATTGCGTTGCTTAATTACGACGCATATACATATATAATTAATTAATAGTCGAGCTATGTTGCACACAACCAGTTGCTTTTTTAGACAGTATGAAACACAGCGGTAGCATCGGCGATCCGAAAGTTGCGTCAGGTGTGTTTAAATCCGTAATTAAGAATACCGATTCGACCTGTACCTCTTCGTTTCAGCGCTCGTAATTTTAGCGAGAGCGGAAACACGACAGCTAATTATCAGTCAGCGATAATCGATGGGTCGGTAGTCTCGAGATTTCCTCTTCACTTTAAATTGGTATTCGCATCTTTCGCGCACGCGAAATCGAACCGCGCTCGGATAATTGTTTCGATTGTGAGATCATTACTTTGACATTGATTTATCGTCATATTGGCTTTGAGCCGCCGCGAGGGATAATTGCTTCGTGGGGTCGTTAAGACCGGAGATAAGCGAAATCCGTCAACGGTGCGCAGAATTTGACAGATGTTCCTTTCTCATTGATGAGACTTGCTATTTTGTATAATTTCATACACGGCAATTGAAATTCATATTGCGATATTATATTTGGGTACAATATGAAACGCATTTAACGCATTCAATTGCACAAAATACTTTATACAATTTTATTTATGGAATAAAAAATTGAACAATGCAGTAGCATAACATTTTTAGATTTATTATGTAATAAACAGATAGATCGAATAAATTTTTTTTTTTTTTTTTCAAGAAAATTCGTAACAAATAAATTGTGTAGATATAAATTTATATTATACAATATTATACGTTGTTTAAAGGACGTCCATATTAGAGAAATCTTAAAACTTAAATGTTAACTTAAATTTCTTACATATCCTATAGAGAGAGCATTTTTTCTTATTGGAAGAATTTTATAAATGTCTCTGATTAATATATATTTATCACAATAAAAAATATTAATATGTACATAGTAAAATTAATCTATAACATATATTTTATATCTTATTGCGGTAAATATTAATTAGAGAAATTTTTACAAAATTCTACCAATATTGTCATACGATTCTAAGAGAAAATTCTGTCCGTGTAAATTTACGAATTTATTTGCAAAACGCGAATGAGTCTCATAATACCGCGAGGAGGATTACGACAGGCGTTCAAACTTTATGTAATATTTATGAATATCCTGTGGCATGTTGTGTCATTTCCGCGCAAATGTTCCCATTACATTCCCACGTACGGTTCCGCTGAATCTCCATAAACTTGCAGGCGCGCGCGCTTCGAGCCGAAGCGGCGGGACAAACGCGATGATTTACTCGCGGAAATCAGTCAGACGAGCAGCGTGAAGAATCGGTGACAGTGATGTACGTGCTTTCTTGTTCCCGTCGTCGCCGTGGCTACCTGCCCGCCGGCCATTCCCCGTTCACTTTCTCTCTCTTTCTCTTGTTAAACGAGCTATGCATTCCTCTTCTTCGCATTAAAAATTGCGATAGCGAATGCAAGTGGCATACCTAGAGGATTCTTTGTTGCTCGCACGAAACGATAGTGAAGCTCATCGTTCGCGCTCATGTCAAAGTCGGTGCCGAGCACACTTCTTTATCGTAGAGAAAAGCTCGACGACGATAAAGCACTCACTGTTGACCTGCACGCGTATTGCATTCCAATTATCATTTGTAAAAGCTCGTGATTATTGACGTTCAAATTTTCGAAGACAATATCTTTTCAAATACGCGCAATATAAATGATTAACTTAAAATATTGCAGTCAATTTTCGTTGAGAAAAGATATTTTTTACATCGTTAATTTCTGACATAAAAGTTATTACATATATTATAATCTTTTTCAGATTTTATTACCAAATTATGATTAGAATTATAAATCATATTTTATTTTTTTTTGCTTGATAATATTTTGTTCAAAATAAAATGAGGTATAAAGAAGCGCCGGTAATCGAGTTTTTAAAAATAGTTATACACACACATTGTAACGTAAAAATTGCGATACAAGAAGGCGGTCGGATCGTAAATAAATTCGAGTCGCAACACGTTGCGGAGAAAACTTGGACGTTAACGTTCACGAACGAATATGCAACGTAGTTTTAATGCTCTCTCACCAAAATTGAGTCTGGCGGGCGATATATCAGAGTGAGAGAATTCGTTTCCTCCTGCACATCTCCAGAGAACCGTGTTAGCGCTCGTTTCTTCTCTGGATCGCAAATCGCCTGAAGCGAAAACCGGCCACAGAGAAACAATGCGAATATATATTATAGTATCTGGTACTAAAACAAAAGGCGGGAAGAAAACCTTTAATCTTTTACGACAGTGCGAGACAATCCAAATTACGAGAGTGTAATGCGAGGAAAAATTATTTTTATATACCACAAAACTTATACAAATATTATATACTGTGTGCAGATGAAAGTATTAATATTAATTTAAATACGCTATTGAAATTAAGCTTGGATTTATCTTAATTTTTAAAAAATTTTATTTTTTATATTCAACACTTTTGCTTTGTTTAAATATCATATATTTAAATTGCGAAAATAATTTTTTATAATTTTATATTATTGCATGGTCGATATTCTCTCACAGAATTGCAAATAAAAATCCGAGAACGATTTTTTATTTCTCATCACATGCTCATGCATATATCTGATTACTTTGACGTCCTTAAACTTCAACCGGCCTTGCGGGATGCCGTAGAAAGTTCCGTTCACGGTGAACCGTTTATGAGAATGAAGGCGCCAACATCCCTTTCTTGATCGTTCTGTCAGCATTTTATTATTAAGTGACGTACTGGACGATTAAAAGTGTAAAATCTGCGATTGCTCATTTAATTTCTATAATCGCTATGACGAGTACATCAGTCCTTAAAATTTACATTCTTTCTTTTCATTTGCAATTCAAAATTTTTACTCCTTACCTTCAGAAAGGAATAAAGAAATACATCATTTTTGTCTTTTAAAAAATATCTTAAAATTAAATTTTTTTTGACAAAGTAATAAAATCACATTTCCGACTAGTAATATCTGTCTTTTTATCATGATTAGGGGGAAATTAATTTCACACTCGCTATAACGAGTATACATCAGTCCTTAAAACTTACATTCTTTCTTTTCATTTGCAATTTAAATTTTATTCATTATGCGTAGATCAATTTTTACTTCTTACCTTTAGAAATAGGAATAAAGAAATAAATAATTTTTGTCTATTAAAAAATATCTTAAAATTAAATTTTTTTTGACAAAATAATAAAATCACATTTCCGGCTAATAACATCTGTCTTTTTATCATGATTCGGGGGGGAATTAATTTCACAACGAACCGGACGAAGATAGTCCCGCAAGGAGAGGAAGGGCGATTTTCAAAAGGAAGGAAGGAA